CATTGAGTCCCCTATACAGAATTTTATTGTTGTTAACAACCATTTGATCAATAAATATGAGAGATGCCCTCTCAAAAAAAAAAGATACAGGTCTAAAATTATCTGTGAAGAACTTAAATACTGAATTCTTAATGGGTAAACCTTAATGTCTAGAATTTGTTTTAATATACTAAGGAAAAATAAATGTGGAATTGGATATGTGGAAAAAGACCAAAAAAAAACCAAAAAAACAACAACAACCCCAAAAATGTTGGGTAATTGAAACATGGGTTCAACTATACTGTTCTCTTTATTTTTTACTATGTTTGGAAAAACCCATAAAACATTTTTTAAAAAGAGTCTTTTTAGAGAAGAGGCTTTCTGATAAAACCTTAACTTAGTAAGAGAACACATAGTTCCTACCAAAAAAATTAAACATTTTAAAAGTCTACTACAATTAAGTCAAAGAATCAATATTCTGAGAAAGCTTGCAACTAAGTCATCCAAGGTTTATCTTAGAGACCATGAAGATACATGCACTAGCTAACTATCCATCCCACAGAAAGGCTGTAAGTGGACACTGAAACACTAATTGTAAAACGTTATTAATTAGAGCTACTTCTTACCAAAACCATTATCCAGAAAAACACCACCAGAACCATTAGGATTGTATTCAGAATTATGGATAAAAATTTTATAGTTTATAAAATCTCTGGCAGATGCTGGAGCTGATCAAACATTTATTCAAAGGTAACTTACTCTTTAGAGAATGCTTACTATTAATATAACTAATATTCTTCACGGAAACAGATCATTATATTTTTCAAAATTAAATTTCCACTTCTTTACTTACATATAAAATTTGACTATTTCTTTTTCTAAATTAAAAAAAAATCTGTGTGAGATGCATAGCCCTTAACTACAAATGTGTCTGTCTACTTGTAGAGTAGAGAAAAATCTTTAATAATTTTTCAAATAGGCAAAAAAATTACATTTAATCAACAGGTTCTTTATATGTAACTGCAACTGCAGATACCAATTCTTTTTGTGTTCTTTCAGTCCTACCCCAAATACTAAAGAAATCAAAGGTAAAACTGTTTAATTATATGTGCATCTAATTCCCAGAAATAAGATGCAGTTTGAAAAGTAAAAGACAGTAGACTGAGAATAAGGAGTCTAACTTACTGTGCTATAACCAATCACTGAATTTCTCAAAGGTTTCATCCGTGAAATGTATTTTCATTCACTCAAAGGATTACTGAAGGCCTACAATGCATGAGATTTAACAACAAGGACAAAGAACAAAAGTGATAAGATCCCTGTCCCACTGAAAGGATGAAATGAGCAGGGTATAACCAAGAAGGGTAGGCAGTACAACAGGAAAAGGAAAAAATACTGGCACATGCCTGGTTGTACAAACCCAGAAGTATTCTGGATGCCTCACCTCACCCACCCACCAACCAGTTCATCACCATCACACTGACTTGCTCTTCAAATGATTCCACACCTTCACCCCCACCACATCATCCTAGCTACCATCCTCTCTTTGGTGGTGCACTGCAATAGCCTCCCCAACTAGGTAAACAATTATATTCTGGCCACTCTCCACTTGGTTCCCACTCTGTAGTTAAAACAAGCTTTTGAAAATATAAATCTGATCAGGGGCATCAGCCTCCCTTCCCCCGTATCAGATCCTTTAATGACTTCCTATTGCCTTCGGATGGTCTACTAGGCACAGAAGGGCCTACTGCACCCCACCTACTTCTGCAGCCTCTCCTCTGTCTGTGCTGCAGCCACACTGCTCTTCTCTCAGCCTCTGGGCATGTCATGTCTTCACCACTATGCCTCTGCACATGCTGATCCCCCTGCCTAGAATGCAATCACCTCTCCTTTCCTCCTGGGTAAAAACTCCTACTCACCCTTTTGTACTTGTCAAAACTTACTTCTCCAGGAAAGTTTCCTTTATTAAATTATATCCTTTCTAATAAAATAATGATATCCTTTCACAAAAAAAAAGTGTCACAATGCTGTGTACCTCTCCTTTATATAACAGAAGTACACACAGAGTGTCATAGGAACCCAGAGGAATAGCAAATCTATCTGGGCAGGATCAGAGCTATCACAAACAGTGACATGTAAACTCAACCTTGAAGGAAGAATAAGTTGTGTGTAGGAGAGAAAGACACAAAAATCAGAAACTGGCTTGTCACTTCCCTTGTAACCTCAAAGCACTTAATGCACTGTGGAGAATACTGTAATTGTTCACTGTATATTTGAACTAAACTAAATAACAATACTATTCTCTTAAACTTAGCCATTCTACTGATTTGGAAGGACAAGTTAAAGACACATCCCTCACAACTGGTGCTTACACAACCAAAGAGAATATAGCATAAAATAGATACCATCTTGTTGAGATTTTAAAGAAATTCTCTTACACAGATATTACTCTTCATTGTTTGCTGCCGCACTCCTCCTTAGTGTTGATAATGGAAAGTAAGTGTATATTAACAACAAAGGCTATCACTGATATTTTAATGTTTGAAAGACTTAAAAATGTAGCCCAAGAATTATGTCAAAAGTATTATAGTCAAATAATCTGTTATGCTTTCATTTGCTAAAAAAATAAATAAAACATAATAAAAGTACTGAAATGTCCTGATTTTAGTAAACATTTATATTAGGTACTAACCAGCAAAATTCTGGAATTTTTCTCTTCTTAACAGAAAGAATCATTCTAAATTTCAAGAGGCTAAAGATAATGCCTTTGAAGCTAACATTCTATGTCACTGCAGAGAAATGTGAATCCATTTCATTACTGCCTTGTGGAACTGTCAGAAATGCTACCCATGTAATGTAAGTGGCATTAGAAACAAAGACAATCTAGAAACAATGAGCACACCTTTACCCATATCTTGGTCTCTAAATACCATTCTCCAATAAAAGGAAACAGGGTTCCTTAGAAAAATGGTTGATTCTAGAGTTGGGTATAGAAAATATAAGATGAGCCTAGAATCTCCTGTGATGCCAGCATGTAAGAAAATCTTCAAAGTAAAGGTCAGCGGCTTATTAAAAGAATACAGATGCCAACCTAAAAGAGTACTAATGGCCAAAGCTGGAACAACTTGAGCAGCAAAATAAATAATGACTGTTAAATTTTAACTCATAGAATATAATAAATAACCCAAAATTCATTATGATATTTTTTAAATGGGGGAGAAGGGATGGCTCTTCCTTACACCAGAATTCCAATTAATAAATGTAGAAGGAAAGACGGAAATAGAAAAATCACAACAGGCAAAAACAGAAGTAACTGTTACAGACAAGATCCACCAATGGATGCTAAAATTAGGGGGAAATGTGAGGCAAAACATTTGCATAGTCAACAATCTCCCCCAAGATATTTACTAATCCCAAAGAAAAAGTCAGTAACTATACAGTGGAGAAACCCAGCAGACATCACCTTAGCCAGGTGATCACCAGTAGTAAGACATACTAACATCATGAGCACACTGACATTATGCACAGAGGACATAAGCTCAGTTTGGTGGATTCCCTGCCAAAAATGCATGACCTTATTCCACTTGTGAAAAAATGTCAAACAAACCCAGGAACATTCTACAGAACAGTCTTCCAAAGTACCAAAGTCATGAAAGAAGGAAAAAACTAAGGAGTACAGTGGAAGAGATGAAGTAAACTAAATATAATATACTGAGAGGATCCTGTAACAGAAAAATACAGTAGAAAAGCTGGTGGATTCAAATAAGGACTGTAGTTCAGTTAATAGTATCATACTTCCAGTAGTATTAACTTCCAGGTTTTGATTAATTTTACTACAGTTACATAGCATGTTACATAGTGTGGCTACATAAGGGGAAGCTAACATAAGGGGAAGCTAGGTGAGTTGCATACAGGAATTCTCTGTACCATTTTTGTAACTTCTTTACATCTAAAATGAATTTAAAATAAAACATTTTAAAGAAACATTAAAAAGATGCAGGTGGAATTACAGCACCATTCAACTATGAAGACAAAAACAGAACAGCAAACAAAAGCATGATTTTGCTCCAAGATTGCACCTCCTCCTCTGCACCCTGCTCACACTGCCCACACAGAGAGGCAGGAGATGGAGACTGGAGGGAAGTAGTGGAGAAGGAAATTACACACAGTTAGTGGAAAAGAGAAGCATATACTATAACAATTTTCTGAAGGTCCCACCCCTGATGTTAGGGAAGAAGACATATATTATTCACAAAAGCCATAAAGATTACTGTCAGGTGAAAGAAGAAATAAAGGTTTGCGGGTGGGGAGAGCAGGGGTAATGGGAGGGAGGAAAAAAAATGATATTCATCTGCTAAGAAGATTTTACAGTGTTTTTATTTGTGTAGATGATGGAGAGTAATCATTTAGGAAAATGGCTAGAATCTGACACTTTATCAATACCTTCACAATGTATTATTTTGGTCAAATAACATAAATATTGTTTTCCTTTAAAAAGTATTATACTGATAAATCAGTCATGTCTATAAAAAAGTCAAAGTTAACTTTCACATTTGCTTTTCATCTTTACAAGTATATTTTTCAATTAGCCTCATGACTTCAAACTCACGCTTTACAAAAAGGATGACCTGCACTCCAGCTTTAACATTATTTCAACATATAAAGAATAATGTACAACAAATGTTCCTGTGAATAATCACACTGAAGAGACATAAGGAATCCAGGGCACTCAGAGGAGGAGGACAATCTGACAGAGTAGAGAGAATATGGGCCTTGGAGTAAGATGGACCTGAGACTAAACCTGAACTCTGGGACTTAACTAACTCCTGGATCCTAAGCGATCTTTAACTATCTTGCCTGCAAAATGGCAAAAATATCACTTAACTCACTTAATTGTAAAGATTAACTTAGGTAATTGAACATAAAATGTTTGTCCTATGGAAAAATCACTCAATAAATATCATTAGTTCTTTCTACCCTTTTCTATTTCACTGCTAAAGAGGTGTTCTCTGAAAACATACCGATTGAAGTTAATGTCTGGGTAACTAGAATACTCCGATTTCATCTTAGCATTTCGCCGTGGAAATGTGCAGAAGAAAGCATTAGCTAAAAGACTGGCAATCTGTTCCTGTGACATTGTGATGGAATGATTCATCTTCTGTTTTAAGAGTGGTATTGGCTGACAGAGGAAACAAAAAACACAGACAAGAAGAGCAATAATTAGTTTAGCAATTTCAAAAGCAGAAGCACCAAATTGCATTTACTAAATTAAGGCAGGAATTATTTCAGGCCACTCTTGAATCCTTAAATCAGTAATACTGTTAAAGTCAAGGGCAGCTCATCAAGGATGACTGAAAAAATGTACACATTTGACAAACAGCAGATTTCTAATCAATAATGACAGTGAAGAGAACACAAACGTTATTTATTAGTGAAAAACAATACTGCTTTACCAAGTAAGAAGCAAAAATACATTACCCATGTAATGAAAAATTAAAACAAAGAAACAGAAAAATGCAATGCTGAGTTTAGTTATTACTGCATATTCCAAATTTTGTTTTCATTTAAAGTAAAAATTTTTGGCCATAGCAATTTTTCTATTTTAGTCCTAAATAAAATGATCTAAGGAAAATATATCAATGAATAAGTCTTTTCCTTCTACTTCTGAATCACCCTTCATATTGACAATTTCTTTATGAGACGCAAATATAATTTTATTAAAGCAATTAATGGAATACATGTATACATGTGTATAGGGACTTACGTATAATTTGTAAGAAATAGGCATTTCCTACATAATTCTAAGTCAAGGAAGATGCACGACATTTTTCCTTCAACTTTGTAATGTCTGAAATGTCTTCCAGTTGTACCAAACCCAAATTCACTGACCTTTTATTGTTAGTACAATCCACAGGATCTGAGTATTATGTTCAGCGAGTTTTTTATATTTTAAATGTTTAAACTATGTTTTTAAAGACATGTTGGTAAAGACAAAGACCACCTGCTACTTTACGTGTCCATTTTTAAGTTTCAAAATGCTCCAACATAAAATTTAGAGATGCTTCTCCTCTTTTCAATATGACCCAGAACTAAGAATCCTGGGTATCTACATTCATCTCAAACCAGTGTGCAGAGAGAATTGCCCTGGTCATTTCTCAGGAATCAGTACCCAACATGACACCAAGGAAAGGCAGGCAAGACAAATCACAACTGTAGTGCTGTAACAATGAACTTTTTTCTGCATAACAGAAAATATACATCATTCCTAGCATAAAAGTTTGCTAGAAAAATAAAAGGTTAAAATTGCAACTTAACTATTTCTCTTGGGAAAATACAAAGGCAGACAAACAAGGGAAATGTTAAGAATTTATTTTCATACAGTATCCCCATTTCTAAGAGAAAATAGCTCATATTGATCTCCATTTCCCATCCTATACATTTATTTATAGCCCAGCGAAGAGTTTTGAAAAGGTGACAATGTATCAATGAATTAAAGCAAACTTTTACATGGTTTTGGTAAGAAGTGAGTTACAACTACCATTTATCAAGTTATCCACAAAAATTATTTAAAAAATTAATGGTGATACATGATTCACGGAATTTAAGCATAAGTTATTTTGCCCCCATATAACCAAATACTATAATTTAAAAGAGAATAAATATAAATTATTTCTGTTTTCTTGGTGAGGAGAAATGTCCTGACCGCTCATACTTGGGGAAAACTACAAGATTTAAATCTTTTCATCAAGCACTCAGCTATGTAAGAGACTGGTTAATATGAACCAATATCTTTCAAAAAGCTCATGTCCAAAATTTTATTTCTTTTTCATAAATCTACAATTAACTCTTTAGATTTGGCCTAGAGAATGTTGATGTGATTAATTATTACATAATAACATATGCAATTTAACTTGCCAAAGATACATTTTGACATCAAATAAAACTGTTAACTTTTGCAGCAGAGATTTATTTTTCAATAGAGAACAGAGCACAGAATTAAAATGTTCTCCCCATCAGCACACCAATGGAAGAAGAAAGTTGTTTAAAGCCACAACAAAATGTTGGGGAGCCACTAGTTTGATTTTGGTTCTACAGTGTGACTTGTTATAGCTTATAAATTTGTATGCATTTGAAGATACATCTCATAAAATAAAATACGGAAAAATTCTTTCCTAAGCATGAGGGGAAGAGAAGATTAAGTAATTGGTGTCTACAGGCTATACACTGTCAATTATGAACCACACACTGAATTCCAAAAGCATTTAGTTAAACACCATATTAAAAATAGGGATGCAGGGGGCGGAGCCAGGATGGCGGCGGGAGTAGAGCAGTGGAAATCTCCCCCCAAAAACACATAGAGCTATGAAAATATAACAAAGAAAAATCTTCCTAAAATAGAGACCACAGGACACAGGACAACATACGGACCACATCCACACCTGCAAGAACCCAGTGCCTTGCGAAAAGGGTAAGATACAAGCCCCGGCCCAGTGGGACCTGAGCGCCCTCCCCCGGGCTCTCGGCGGGTGGAAAGAAACCAGAGCGGTTTTTTTTTTTTGGCGAGTGCTTTTTGGAAGCCTTAAAGGGACGGGCCCCCGTTGCTAGGGACGCAGGGTGGCAGGACCGGTGAGCAGGTGCCTGGGACCAGCGCCTGAGGACAAAGAATATCCCGTGTTTCTCCCTGCGGGACCGGCGGGCGGGTGCCTGAGACCGGCACCTGAGGACGGAGGAAATCGCGCGTTTTTCCCCTTTTTTTTTCTCTTTTTGGCGAGCGCTTTTTGGAAGCCTTAAAGGGACAGGGACCCCGGTGCTAGGGAGGCAGGGTGGCGGGACTGGTGAGCGGGTGCCTGGGACCGGCGCCTGAGGACAAAGAATATCCCACGTTTTTCCCTGCGGGACCGGTGGGCGGGTGCCTGAGACCGGCACTTGAGGAC